AAGTGTCCCTCAAGGAACTATTTTTCCTGGAGACACGAGGCTGTGGTAAAAGAACAAGTTGAGAAATGGCTAGCAGATGGAGTGATAGAAATTAACTATCAACAGACGCCAGTTAACTTGGCGCTGCTAGCCGTAGACCAACATAACTCTGACGGATCGTTTAAGAAAGTCAGAGTATGTTTAGATATGAGTCCAATAAACAAATTATTGCCGACTCATAGCTTTCACTTACCTCGTATTAACGAGCAACTGCGAAGGATGGAAGGTGCTACAGTATTTACAAATATAGACCTTACACAAGGATTCCATCAAATGCAGGTATATGAACCCCACCGGAAATACTTTAGCTTTACGTGGAAAGGTAGACAATACAGGTTCAGAGGTGCACCTTTCGGGTTACACTCTTTACCAGTATTCTTCCAACAAGTAATGGAAGAAATGTTTGCAGACGTGCCTAACGTGCATGTCTATATAGATGACATAGTCATCTTTTCTAAGACTACGGGCGAACACGCCGAATTAGTCAGACGAGTCCTTCAGAGACTCAACGAACAAAACTTCAACATTAACGAGAAGAATGTCACTTCGCCATGAGCGAAATACAGCTCTTAGGCTACCGTATATCTGGGGTAGGTATTAAGATCGACCCCGGTAAGGTAGAACACCTGTTAGATCGGCGAACACCAACTACAGGAAGAGATGTTAACAGCATGTGTGGGTTTGTAAACTTCTTTTCAGATGGAGTACCACACTTAACTGATTACCTTAAACCTTTTGGACACTTAAGATGTCATAAAGGCAAACTAGGAGACTTGTGGACTAAAGAGTGTGATGACGCATTTAAAGCGCTCAAACACGCAGTCCAGCAAGCCCCTGATGTACAAGGACCAATCGATGGCGTACCTTTTGAAATAGCAACGGACGCCTCTGACTTAGCCTTAGGAGAAGTATTATATCAGATTATAGATAACAAACCTAGATATATACAATTCTTTAGTCGAGCGATGAATGCTTCACAGTTGAATTATCCAACTGTTAAACAAGAGCTATTAGCCATAGTGGCAGCACTAACACACTTCCGAGAATACTGATACGGAACAGCATTTACGCTGATGTGTGATCAGAAATATCTTCAATATATGAAAGAGATGAAACTCGACTCACAATTACTGAGTCGCTGGCATGATAGAATATCAAAGTTTCATTTTGATATAAAACATCTGCCAGGAATACACAACCATTTACCGGATATGTTATCACGCTTCGTACCGGACTTTAATAAATCCGTACGTGAGTTACTAGCCACTGACTGGAAATGTAATCCCAGGTGGTTTGAATTGGCTCAAAAGATATTTGTGCCACCTTTAGGAGACGCCTTTCAAATAGACCTCTCCAAACATAATGCATGGGCTAACCCACCATGGCAGTTTATTGCCCAGCTATTAAATTATGTTCACATACATAAAGCTACCATCACGTTGTGTTGCCCATTACGGAGTGGCTCAATAAATTAATATGCATGATACAATGCGAGCCAATATATTTAGATAGGGAAGTAGATACTTTCCTATATCAGGGTACCCGAGCCGTCAAGAAGACGCTCTGGAGACATACTATT